CAAATAGGTCCAGATATCAGTTTCATCCAAGTGCTTCTGGAACTATGAGGCCACCACCTTCTCAGTCATCTTATCTGGGAATGGGATATTTGAAAGAGGGCTATTTCACAATTATTCCAGGTCAAGGAATCTTTTTCAATAAAGTTCCTGTATTCTCTCCTTAAGATGGAGTCACATCGCACACTCAAGGAATCATTCATAAACATGGAACCAGTCCTGCCATGGCTGATTTAATCAGCAAGGGGAGCAAAAGTCAAGAAAGCAAGTGGTGGCCCACAGCTCTCCACAAACCCTATCCATATCCTCAAGCTAAAAAAATGAAGCCATATGAACAAGTGGCTGCCAAGACTATCTCCTGTGACCTGCCCCAACACCAGAGTTAAACTCAAGGTGAATCTAATCAATGCTCAACTCTTATATCTAACCATACTACAAACATCTCATAGCAACATCTTTATTCTACTATCTCCCTATGGCATTATTATCCTCTCATGCCTAACTCATGTGTGAAATAGACTGAAGCCATCCTTAGCTATATCACTGTTAAATTAGGGTTGTCCCACTTAAGCTAACAGCAGCTCACAGCATTCATGTTATATAAAATCTGATATACTTCACAAACCACTCTTTCAGTGATGCAGTTGAGTCACCCATAGTGGGTGGGATCATGCCTTTTGGCCACTTCAGACTGGTGCAAACATGCCCTTTCTGGTCCTCAGGCATTCTCCTTAACTGCTGTTCTTTCTTTTTTTCTTCCATGATGAAAAAAGGATCAGAGCCCCCCTGACATTCAGTAGGTTTGTGGAATGTGGAGTTTTGAAAGAGTGCCAAACCAATGTTCTCCTGCTTTATTGTCATCTCAGGAGAGCCCAGGTTTAGTGTTCTTTGCCTCTGATAGTTCTGGCTTCCCACTCCCAACAATTTGATGAGGGAGATTCTGCACAGTAAAGTAGAGAATTGTCTTATGTAGAGGGTTGTTTCCAGAAAGCCGTGCTGACAGACTTTTATTCAATCCAGTGCTATTTATGATAAAACCAGTAGCTGTATTATACCATTTCTCAGTGAAAATAATACCTTTCTGTGATATTCCATTGCCTTCAACCAACAAGCCTTTTCCAGTCCTGTGACTTATGATAATTCATCCTAGATCACATACACGCTAAGCCTGGGTATTACCGCTGAAGCAGTGCCTTTTTCACGTTTTTCCTCATATTTATGAGCATCAGTTTGACCACTTCCCTACTTAAAAAGATGAGACGTTGTGAAAGAACTACATCTAAAGTTAAAGATACATTGCAAACCACCGTTAGACCAGAATAACACAAAACACTTCCTTTTCTTTCTCAAATAAAATAATGAACATTTATTTCTTTTGTTGGCAAAAATAGGAGTCGAGAGATGATGGGTATGAAAGGGATTCAGGAAACAGTGTGCTAATGAAGAGAACAAAGGCAAGGGAAAAAATGGCTGCAGAGTGGAGATCAGCTATGGATGGTGGAGCAGGGGAAGCATGCCTACACCTTCCAATACAGTGGTACCTCAGGATACGAACTTAATCCGTTCCGTGACTCTGGGCGTATCCCGAG